GGCGGCTTGGGCGCCTTGGGTGGAGCCGGCGGCTTGGGCGCCTTGGGGGGCTTTGGCGCCTTGGGCGCCTTTGGCGCCTTGGGAGGAGCGGGCGGTTTGGGCGCTTTGGGAGGCTTTGGCGCCTTGGGGGGCTTTGGCGCCTTGGGGGGCTTAGGGGATTTGGGCGCTTTTGGTGGTTTGGGAGCTTTTGGGGGCTTGGGTTCGCTACTGGCCTTCTTAACACACGCCTTGTACTTGAACGGGTTTTTTAAGCATGTCACTCGGGCCATCATGCCCTTGAAGAACTTCTTTATGCGTGCCCAAAACCACCAAAGCAGAACGACAATCAGCACAACTGGTATGACGATGGGAAGGAAGGGTGCAACAAAGGAGAATAGCATGGATATCATGTAGAACACAATCATTGCTCTCTAGTATCTCACTGAAAATACATACACTTAGGGCTCTCTGGCAGCCTTCCAAGCTTTCATCATAATGGACCGCACCCGAGCTGCTGAGTGCCTCATGTCGATCGTCATGCTGTGTGCTGCACTGAACGCGCTTGGCGATGTTACTAAAGAGTCCAACGAGCGTATGCTAGCACTCTTGTCGGCGCAGGCCGGCACCCTGGTACTCCTGACCTTTGCCTTTGGTGCTGGCCACAACCGAGGCGGTGCAAGGAGCCCGTGGGCTTTTGTCGTCCTCCTCGCATCGATGGCGATCATGCAACTCCGTCTAGCGCTCACTACAGGGCATGCTGCATCCGTGCACTTTGCTTTCTACTACTCTTGGGCCTTTCTTGCAGCCAGGCTCTTGTTGATGACGATCGACGTGCATGTCCGCCAGGCTTAGGGCCAACGCGTGCAGTGAGTTGACAACAATTCTCGGTCCCAAGTATGGCTGCCGCCCACTCCACCGCCGAACCATGCATCCCAATGAAGCCCGTGGCTTCCCTCGACCGTCGCGAGACCCTGAAACTGCAAGCAATGGAGGGCGTTGTCCGAAAGTGTCACTGCTTTGATGGGGCCTTTGTCTTTGGTGGGTTCGTCAGGGACTACATCGTCAACCAAGTCCTCCCAAATGACGTTGACCTGAGCTTTAAGAACGTCGGGGACATCACGACCTTTCTCCGAATCCTCAGCGAGCTTTACGAGATTGATCAGGTCGAGAAGCACGCCGGGTACGGATGGGGGATGCGGCGCTTCGAGACTTGGAAGGCCCGTGTGGGAGCTTATGGGGCAGACGGGGGCGTTGTTTACTTCACGGTTGACCTGGTGTCTGGCGCGAAGGAGGATATGGCGTCTAGCTTGTGCGACTTCACGTGCAACATGCTCTCCCTGTCCCGTACCGGCATCGAGCTCGTATCCGTCCCCCCCAGCCTGCACCTCCGCTCCTCCCCGATACAAGACGTGCTCTCTGGCATAAACGCCCGGGAATTCTCGGTGGTGGAAGGCAAGGTGACGCTGCTCCAGTCAGAGGTTGGGCCTTACGCTGCAAAAGTTTGCAGACGCGCCAGCGTGATGGTCCGCAGGGGCTGGCATATGACGAGAGGGAAGACTTTTCAAGCTTTCCTTGTCGAGGGTCCTGAGGCCCGCGCAGAGTGCTCGATCTGCACCTCTGAGTTTGAGAGTGGTGAGGTTGCAATCCAGACCATATGCCACCACCATTTCCATGCAACGTGCATCTCAAAGTGGTTGCTCGAGGGCCGCAGCACCGTCACCTGCCCGGTGTGCCGAGAGGAGCACTTTATGATGCCAGCCGCATCCATCGCTTTGACCAAGCCAGCCAAGCCCGCAGAGGCAGACGAGGCTGACACGGACGAGGACGAGGACGACTCAGATTACGACCCCGAGGATGACGAGAACAACGTGTCTGTGCTGACCATCGAAGTTCCTAGACCCCGACGTCGGTAGTGATGCGTCCTTCTTGTACAGCACTTTTCTATGCTTGTTGTAACTAACATGGATTATCGTACGATCCTAATTCAGCTTGCAGCTTTGGTCCTGCTTTACGTGCTCTTGCACAAGGACAACATGGACATCCTACACGCGTGCATGGCCAGGAAGGAGAATGATGCACATGACCATGCACACACAAGTAACGATGATATGACAGAAGAAGACAGGGTGATAGCAGATGCCATATTTGGATCTATCGCGGCACCACTGTTCAGCGCAAAGGTCGGTGGCCAGCAATTTAAACCCCAAAAGTCTGCCCGTGTCGAAGAGGTTCCAGAGCAGCCAGCCGAGCAAAAGCCCTCAGTGGCAGACAGCCCAGTTGCATCCCAGACGAGCACTGTCCGACGCCGTACTCCCAAGAAGGCAGTCACCGCCGACGTCCCTGATACGTGAGCAAATAGCTCGCATCCTACTAAGTAAACTGGGGATGAGCCTGATGCGTGACCTCAGATTGATCCACGAACGACAAAAGAAACGGCTCCGTATTCTCTACGACTCCATTCTAAGGGACTGCACTACAAAGATACGGCATGCTGCGGAGTTGAAAAAGCTGAAGATCCTGTACGAGCTCCCCCTGATCCAGGAGGGTCTGCCCCTCTATGATGTGGCATCCTGCAAGCGCTACCTGGTGAAGGCGCTGGCGGCCCAAGGGTTTGACTGCTCGGACGCTGGCGGGACGAGATTCATCACGATCAGCTGGAAGAATGCTATAACACAGAAGCAAAAGGTCAGCCACGTCGAGAGGGGCCAACAGGCCGCAGATCCAGGGAAAGCAAAGGTGCAGAAAGAGGAGGCCCCGCCTCTTCCCCCGATCCTCGGGAAGGACGACCTGTTCGCCCTGCCATCAATCAAGGGCCTGCAGGCAACCGCAAAGATGCTACGAAAGTGATCACGTGCGTCCGACCCATCCGCACCCCTTTCCGTGCTTATGCCAGAAGATCATGGAGCAGGCACCGTCCTTACCACACCTTCACACAGGGTCAGTCCGGTTCATGAAGGGGCCCGACGGAAAGCATGCACACGTCCAGCGGATCGATGCAAAGGATCTCGACCTGAACCTCCTCGTCATGGCCCGGCAGGAGTACACGACCTTCCTTCACCACATCCTCAGGGACAAGGTCAAAGCGGGCCTGCTGACTCAGTACAATACCGCTGTTGAAGAGTCACCTTCACCAATCCTGGTCATCAAGACATACCAGAAAATCCTCAAGGAGACCCCCCTTTGGAACCAGAACATTGTCCGACGAGAAACGGAGCGAGTTTTGGGCGAATACCGGCCCATGTTCCCGAACCTCATCGCGCTCATATATGTTGCAAAGGTCAAGATCATGGCGTCAGTACGAGTGACAAAGGGAACCTCGTACGTTGCTCTCTCAATCCCCTCTCCAGAGGCCTTTGTGCACCAAGTATACATAGAGTGTGCACACATCCTGTACGAAAACCCAACCCTCTGCCATCTCCCCTCAAATGACGTCCGTCTGCACTTTGAGCGCAACGACGTGCTGCAGGACGTGGTAAGGCGGGGCACTGAAGAAGCCCTCTCAATAATGCTTCCCGTCAAAGACATCTTGAGCGAGTATCTAAACAACTCAATGCTTGAGAACTCTGTCTTCTCAATGGGCGATGAGGAAGAAGATACTCGTAGGGAAGACAGAACAAGCGAGAGTGAATCTTCCGAGTCAGACGATGACAAGGGAGATCGCAAGTACGTCCCGCCGGTTGGGGATGACTTCCTTAAGCAAGCACTCGTGCAACCCGAGCCCGGCGAAGCCCGTGAAGAGACCCGGGTTGTCCATACGAGAGATCCATTGACCCTGACCGGTGTGGCAAGAAGCAATGGGGGTGAGACTGGCCACACACAAGAGAGCCAGCCCGTTCCAAGGCACGAGAGCGGTCCAACAGGCCCACCTCACGATAGGGGTCCGCTACACGAGAGCGGCCCTCCACGCGAGAGCGGCCCTCCATGCGAGAGCGGCCCTCCACACGAGAGCGGCCCTCCACGCGAGAGCGGGAGCGGCCACCAACACCACCGGCAGCTGTCTGATGGTGAGCGTCTTGAGGCAGGGACACCCTTCTTCGAGGATGAGTCTGATGATGAGCAGACAGTGCACGACTACGCATGAGCTTCGCGGCCGTACACACTTTTTTATGTTGGTCACTCATCAACGAAAGCATGGTCCCCGACTTTCTCCAGAGCCCCATTGGCGCTGCACTCATTGGCGGGATCCTGTTGCTCGGGGGTCTGTACTACATGTATGGAACCGAAGGCAGATACCAAAAAATGGACAAACAAGAGATCTGCAGGATCTTCTTCCTACCACCAGCAATCCTAGCGGCAAGCATCTACTGGTTTGTGTCGTCAAGGGTGGCCCCTCCCTCAGCTGCAAGGGTGCCCCCTCCCCCCCCTGTCGAGATCCCTCAGGCCCCTGAGTTCGAGCAGGTGCCTGCGCCAAGTACGCCTATCTTGACGGAGCCTTTTGCAGATGAGTAGGCGCGTCAGGATGGGAGCAAATCTTGTCTGTGCTCCAATCAAATGTCGACCCGCAAGGAGAAAAGCAGCCAACAGCACGAGGCACACTCGAAGCGGCCCCCAAAGCCCGTGGAAGATGTCATCAGCGATTCAGAAGAGGAGTTCGAACAGGGAGACGATCCTCTCATTGGTGCACTATTTACAAGAGAGGGATTACCTGTCGCCGAAGCCATCGTGTACATCGCTACAGCCATCTCCAACCTATCCAGCAACCTCCAATCCTACTCCGAAAAGAGCCTGCGCCTCCAAAAGTTTGTCGCCAAGCAGCTCCAAGCAATCTCAGAGTCCATCGCACCCATCGACGACGAAGCACAGGGGGAGGAGGAGCGGCCCGATGATGAAGCCAACTCGACTGCAGCCCAGGTGCAAGGAGAGACAAAGCCCGATGTAGAGGAGCCTGCCGCGTCTTCTACCCCTGCTTCTTGAGCAGGTAACGCCTGAGGAGGAAGAACGTTGAAGCCACGAGAGAGCCTTGCATCAGTGCCCTCGGCCATGTGGTGGCCTCTGCAGGGGGCACGAGCCACTGTGGAAGGAACTCCCTCAGACGCCCTTGAACGTACGGAGAGCCCACAGCAATCGAGAGGGCCATGACCAGAAGGGCAGTCCGCTGCTCGTCCGTCAGAACGGGCTCCTTGTTTGAATGAGCCTCCCATAGAGCCTGCTGCATAACAGGGTGTATGGGGAGATCTCTGTAAGTGCTCGGTATTTGCGCGGCTGGCACATGTGCCGCCCGAGGGTCCTCACTCCTGTACAGCTGGTCCAACTCGGTGCCCCCACCGATGGGGAACTCGACTTCATCCGGAGCGCACGCGGCGTTGTTCATCGGGACCGGACCTCCCTGAGGCGCCGCTTGTGGGGCACCTGGTGGTGCGGCAGGTGCGCCGTTCAAGTTCATACCCAGCTCCTGCTTGACAAGCGACTGATAGTCCGTCATGTGGGGCCTTTCCTTTTGTGCAGGAAACTTACCACTGACTCACACGCACCACGTTTGCAAGCAGTCATGTCAAGTGAAGGGAGTCCCCTTTGACTTGCGAGCCCCCACCTCGCCGAAACAAAACTCTCCAAAAGCTCGTTGGTCGTTGCAGGCGGTGGTGACGGGAGTCCTATAAAACTGCCTCTGCGAGTTGGCGTTCTCGTAGATGTCCGTCTGGTCACGGTACAGCCCCTGATAGAACTGCGCGTCTATCTCATCCTTCACGTGCTCCGGATCGCAACCGGGTGGCCGGTCGGGTCTCTCCTCGTACTCGTTGATCAGGAAGTTTCCCATGGGGTTCTCCATGGTCGGACGCTGGCATACCGGGGCAATCGTCACGGAGGGCTCCCCCTCTTCTGAAAGGCCATGAGGCACCGTCTGTTGATGCCGCACGTACAGGTACACCCCTGCACATGCCACCAACCCAAGCAGGAATGGATCGATCGCATATGCGAGCACGCACGTGATCACGTAGACCATGAACCTGGCCGACGAGTTGATCTGTGCGGCATAGCTGCCCCCCGAGAACGGGGCAATGTCGAACGCTCTGCTGCCACGGAAGAGGACCCCCGGGTCCTGAAAGAAAACGGGTTCAGAAGCCATGCGCCTCCTTGTATTACTTGTGCTGCATTTTTTTAGCCCCATATCAACTTGCCAGCCGGGACGCTGTCAGCCTAGGCTTCCGTGGCCTTCTACGCTGCCCTCGAATCAGCCCAGGCACAGCGGTCATGTCGATGCTCCCGTCCCGGTTGATCATGGACGGCAACCGGCTCACAAGGTCAGGCGTAACACTGGTGCTCAAGAGACTCGAAAGCACATTGCCCCCACCTGCGCCGGTGCCCCCTACGACCCTCTGCATCACGCTTGGGTCCACGAGCTGAGCTGCATCTTGCACGAGAGCCTGCAGTGCTGGCACGTTGGCCGTCCTAGTGAGCATGGAGACCCCTCTCAGCATCCTCGGGTCCTCTTGTAGGGCATTTACGGACGCTATCAGCGCCGGTATGCTGCTAACGTCCAGGCTTTCAACCGCATCGGAGAGCAGACGGACGAGCATCCCTGAATCGACGCACCGGAAGGCCCTCCTGAACACTCTGACCACCCCTTTCATCGATTCGGACCTCAGAAACCCACGAGCCGTCTCAAGGGCTTCTCGTTCGGTCGCCGACCGGAGGCTCCTGAGATGCGGCAGGAGGTCCTTGAGCAGACTCCCGTCGATCGATCTGTCCCTGTGTTCCGGATCATTTTCGGGGCGAAGCCCCGAAAAACGAGGTAGCACCGCGCTCAGGTCAACGCCATCGAGGAGGCCGTCGAGGTCGGCGCTGAGCTCGTCTTGCGTCTGGCCCTCCAGAAACTGCACAAGGAGAGCCAGGATGCCACTGACCTTCTCCCGCAAGCAGGCCGGCAGCAAGACGTGTTGCGAGATAATCTCGCTTACCAGCTCCGACCAGCCGCTCTCATCTGCCACGCCTCCGGCCACCAGGACATCATCAGCCGAAGTGGACTCGACCAGGGCTTGAACAGCTGCCCACAGCCTCTCAACCTCTCCTGGAGACAGGAGTCTTCCCTGCAAAAAGAGACCGGGGACCGGTGATAACTGTGCATCATGCTCTGCAAAGAATGCCATGTCATGGTCGTTGATTGCGTCCATCACACCCTCTGCCAGCAGAGCTTCTCGGAAGCGGTTGAACATGAGGCCCGGTGACTTTCGCGATGCACTCTTGACCAGCATCCGGAGCTTCTTCAGCTGTGCGCAAGCCGGGTGCTGCCTGTAGAACCGCTCTACGAGCTGCCTCAGTTGCTGATCAAACTCCTTTGACATGAAGCCTAGGCTCTACGAAGAAAGATTGGGGCACACCCGTAACGAGACTAAAAGTAGCCCGCAAAGTTGGGGGACCCAAGAGACCGGGAAACACACCTGAAGTGCAGCTTGATGGTGTTGTCCAGGTTCTGAAAGTCTGCCGGTGACCCGTCCTGCCTCAACCACCGGAGGTGGAGGCTGTCGAGGCGCGCGATTGGGGGCCTGAACTCCTTGAAGATGAGATAACCAGAGACGCCGCCGCTGTAAGTGACCAAGGACCCTGCATCGCCCACGAGTGCAATCCGCCCAAAGCAGTTTGGGGGAGCGGCCGAGACAAGGCCCTCACCGCTCGGAGAGTAGGACACCTCATGCATGCTTGTGTCCAGCTCCGGGCTCGACAGCAGCACGTGGTGATCCCCGGTCGTATCTACGTACCCACTCGAGACCAAGGCCCCCGAGTACACAGGGTCGTCCGAGACCATTGTGTCGTTGTAGGGCGTATCTTGTGCGTCGAACCCGAGCATGCTGCTGCACGTGCTCTCTCCAAACAGTATCCTGAAACGGGTCACGTCGTGGGAGGCTTTGAACGAAACCTTGTTCTGCCTGCTGAGGCTATCTACGACATAGGGACTGGCTGTGGAGGAGCTGTGAAGGTTCAGGAGGCGCGTAAGCTCCTCGCTCAGGTCCGTTATGTCATAGTGGCCCTCCCGAAGGCTGAAACGGATGACACGGGGGGCGCTGTTCCCAACAATCTCCTCGAGAGCAAACAGACTGTTTGTGCTGTCCACGTTGAAAGATACGTTTGGAACCTGGGCAAAAGCCAGGTCCACTCGAACGATGTTGGTCAGCGGATTCCGAAAGTAGATCCTGAAGTCATTGCTGCTTGAGAACCTGACGCGATCCCTCTGGGAAGAATCGACTTCGATCACGTGCGTCGAATACTCGACCTGCGACTGCCGCGCGTGCTCGAGCTGCTGTTTCTCATACAGCTGGTCCGGCAGCGAACCAATCGGAAGCCCCCTGCTTCCCTCGAACCGGTGGAAAGGAGAGATCTCCATCCTATAAGATTACCTTTTTATGATGAACGAGAGCCGCACAATGGTTTCCTTGACTGGGGGTCTGCCATCAGCTGCCACTCGTTCCAAAGACGCCCTCTGTCCACGCGGTGTATGTATGCAAGCCTGCAATGCAACTTCCTGGGGAAACTTTAGATAGTGCGCTCAGGGCAAAGGAGCCCGAAGAGCTGCACATGAAAACGTTTTCTAGACGAATCCAATAGGATGGACGGCCCGTTGATGCGGGGGACGACCCTCAATATTGAGTACCTCCTGCCTTGCTCTGGCTTTGAGTACAGCTTCAATATTTATCCTTGGAATAATAATCTCAGCAGCGGCAACTGTTACAGCTACACTTTGGGAAACGCCCACGTTCAGGGGCAAAAGGCCCAGCCAGGGGACATTGCAATGCTTTTTCGGGACCTTGTAGAAAAGTACAATCTAGGCGAGCCGGGCGTGGATCTGACATGCGGCTGCGCTGACGTGGTTAACTCTGTGCTAGCGGACGGGGTCGCATGCGCACGCCTGCAGGACCTCGCGCTCGATGGGACCTACAACAAGCAGCGCACTACCATCAAGCCCATCGGGCTGACCGCCAGGCCGGAGACCGGCTGGTACAAGATAGTGTGCGTGATGGGAACCGAGGCAAACGGCGACGCAGACTTCCACTTTGTCAGGCAGGACATCATGGACATGTACGATCTGTACTCCATCACTTTGCATGGCTATCATGACTTTAACAGGCCCCAATCTTGCTTCTGGTTCGGCACGCCGCTCTGGCAGGGGGGCAAGGGCGGCTTCTTCACAACCACCCCCAGCCCCTATGACGTGCTCGGCATCCACCCGTTCACCGGGAGCCGTTACGTTGAGTCGATCTTCACAGACACGTCCCGTGACCCAAGCGCGTACGGCCTGAAAGGCAATCTAAGGGCTGCCCACTCCTACATCTCCGGAGCGAAACCGATCGATCAGAACGACCCGAATCTCAATCGGCCGCGCACGAATATCGACCTGCACGTTTCGAGGATCCCCGAGTATATTCTAAGCGGCAAGAACTTCATCCCCTCGCCTTTCTGGCTCGTTTCTGTGGACCCGTTCGTCGAGGACTGTGCAAACAAGGTGCGCAGGCGCCAGCAGGAACTGTCGCGGATCTACGAGGGCCGCCCGGGCTACGAGCTGCACAAGAAGACGGTCGATGACGCGGCCAAGGACTGCATCGATATCTGCAACAAGCGCCGAGGCATGCCGCCCGTCCACAGCCTGATTGGCACCTTCAGCGAGAAGCTGGGGTTTGGCACGGGCGCCCTGAACACCGATGGCGCATTCAAGCTCAACTTTGACCCCTCCAAGGCCTGCCGTTACAGGGGAGGCGTTCATTACCAGAGCGTCTGCACAGCTTTCAGCGTCTTGCACAATCATGGCGTAACGGCCATCTCGGCGTTCGATCGGCCGAGCGGCCGCAAGACAAAGAATGCTACAAGACAGGTGTGATCGTGTCCAGCAGCCTCAGGGGGAGGAGCTCCGTTCCGGTTAGGCACAGAAAGTAAAAGATGGCGGTCTTTGAGAGAAGGTGGGATGTCTCCCGGACGCACGAATTGCCTTGGCCTGTGAGTTGCAGCACACCGTAGACGGTTTGGAAATGCAGGACCTGGCCGTTGTTGGTGACAGTGGCCCGCCTCATTGGGACGGGGACGAGCCCGGTCGCACTCTGGACCACCTCTAGGAGTGGGAACTCATCAAAGATGCGACGAGCCTCTCTTGAGAGCAGCTCACGCAATCGCATGATGTTGCTCATCAAGGCACCCTCCATCGCCGACGCACGGCCCCCATCGACAGCTCGCAGGTCCTGTGGGATCTTGTTAGAGAGCTCCGCGGATGACTGAATGTACCTCTGTGAAGCCGCTCCGGACAATGGCAGCGAGTGCCCGGGACCCTTCCAACGCCTGTAAAACATCACCATGAAGAAGATAAATTTGAACATCTGCATCAGTACCAGGCGATCCTGCCGGTGGGCCTCCAAAAAGTGTGGCAGATGCAGGAGCTCCAACAAGCCTCCCTTTGCCTGCAAGTACTCTGGTGTTGCCAGCTTGTCCAAGATACCACTCACCCGGCGCGTACCCAGATTTGCCAGGTTCTCAAAGTCCGCGATGTTTGGCTGGGGGCGCCCTGCATCATACAAGATGCCAGCCGCCCAAGACCTGAAGGACTTTGCGACACGCTGGTCTCCTGCAGCAAAGGTGAGCGCGTCGTCGTCCGCAAGGGGTTCCAAGGTGTTGTAGTTCATCGGCCGTGCAACTCCCGGCACCACGCCAAGGATCCACATGCCTGACGGATGCGCCAGCGATGCGACATCACGGACGTCCGGCATCCGCGTGCTCTTCTCGTCCTTGGAAAGAAGGAGCTCCGGGATGTTGATCTCCAGGTGAAGCCATGTCTGGAATCGAGGCGGGCTCGCACGCCCTCTCGGGGCTGGAGCAGCCACAGCGTTCCGACCGGCCGCAGGCCCCAAGCTGCTAGCAAGCAGGGCGCAAGCCACATACTTTCTGATAGTCCGCACTGTGTGCGCGTAGAGCGGTGGCAGCCGCAGGGCTTCGCGCATGAGAGCGATCATGTAGGTGATGATTGCAGGACCACAGGAGGTGGAGTCGGTCTGTCCGGGAACATCGGTGCCATTAACGTGCTGCACAGGCCCTTGGATCACGTTCGCGTCCCTTAGAATCCGTTCCACGTTGGAGAGCTCATCGGGCATAGAATTCATCAGTGGGTCATAGCCAATCAGGCGTGCATTGTGAGCATCGTACACAACCAGCGTCCAGTGGTAATTTGCGACATTTATGGGCATAAACGCGTACCGCATGCCTTGTGGTGCCCTTCGTGCGTTGAAGGCCTCTGCAATGTTTTGGAACAGATAAGGTGCCAGCTTTGTGGCCATCGTTCTAGGGCTGTTGTTCAATCTCCACACATGCTCATTGTTTACATTCAACAGCGGACCGAGTTGCCCATGGGTCGCCATTGTGTACACTGTGCTGGGATATGCGGAGCAATCACCTCGATCGCTGATGAGCTTGCACATACCGTCCACAATGCCGTCACTTATGTTCTCATCCTTGTGCAGCGTGTGCAGATCTCCTCTAAGAACCGTGACCTGATCGGGGGCTGCCCCGACAGTGACGTGAGCGCCGATGTCATGGAGTTCATCTCGCGTCTCTACAAGTGTTTGAGCCTGCTCGTAGACCCTGTTGTTAAAGCCTGACAGAGTGAATGGAAGTGGTCTTTGCGGGTCCGCCGTCCCCCGCGTCCGCAGCCGTGCACGGCTCTTGGTCCCGGGAGCCCTCTTGAAAGCGTACATCTGCACCGGGGAGCTGATTGGCTGCCTTTTTCGAGTTCGCGTTGCGATCGGTGCCGACGGAGTTGTCACAGAAGACTTTCTGGGATGAGTTGGTGGTGTCTTTTGGGCAGCTTGCGTTGGGGACTTGTGAGGGATTTGTCTAGGGCTCGGCGTTAGTGTCCGCCTGGGGCTCGGCGTTGGTGTCCTTCTCGGACTTGGGGTTGGCGTCCGCCGGGGACTTGGAGTGGGCGTCCTCCTTGGACTTGACGTTGGTGTCCTTCTAGGGCTTGGTGCAGGCCTCCTGGGGCGCGATCTCCGAGGAGTTTTCTTTGTATGACTTGTTGTTCTCTGGGGCACCCGTGCCGGTGCTGCCTGCCTCCCCTGCGTCCGTTGGGGTGCACCTTGACGTGCCAGCACACGGTCACACAAGCTCTGCCTGCTTCTCCCAAAGAGTGGACGCCTCTCTGCTTTCAGCTGCCTGTACATGGCTGCCCTGCCTTGAATCGACCGCGGGAGAGCAGCGTTGCCTGATGCGTACACCATGAATTCGATCCATCCGTTTGGCCTCTGACACATTGGGCGACCCTGTGAGTTGACCTTGAAGCAGTTCTCCCCAGCATCCCGGCAGTGCGGGCCTCCTCGGCTTATCGTTGCTGGAACGCGTGGCATCTTTACCTCTCATTGCACAAAATAAGTTACAAATGGAGCAATCAACGGAAGGACATAGTTATCGGTCGGTTCCTGCAGCGGGCCACGCGACCTCTAAGCGCTTCCTGTGGCTCCTGTGCGTCGCTCTTTGCACGCGCCTGACGGTCCCTCTCCTTTGCGCTGCGGATCATGTCTGACTCGATCTCGTCCCTATGAGCCATTGCAAATCCGAGAATGTCATTTGAGATGGCCCATCGGAAGAAGTTTAGCTGACCAACAGTTGTGACAAGCTCGTGCACCCTGTCCGCATCTTCCGCCCGCACATGCTTAAGATGCGCTTCTTCGGGCATGGACACATCTTGCGGTGGCATCCTGCTCGCTGGAGCGGAAACCTCTGCTCGAGGATCGATGATAGGGAACAGGATGCGCTCCCGCCGGCAGAACGGATCGAACCGTCTCTTTGAGTACGCCCGCAGTTGCAGGCGGTAATTTGTGGATATTGACATCTGCCTGCGGTTGCCTTTGGCATCGGTCGCCGAATGGAACACCATCTTCGTCCTGCTGAAGTTTGTTATGAGCCAATCGAGGATCCGAAGAGACGGCAGACCCTTCTTCTGCTGTAGGACGTCGAGCAATATGGCCGCGTTACTCTCAATGTCATAGAAGCTCCTCAAGGATACGAGCAGGAGGTCCTCTCGTCCTTGCATGTTGCTACCTGCCTTTCTCAACATTTGCATCCTCCTAAGTACGCAAGAGGGAAGCATGCTTTGGCCTATGGTCTTTAGCTCATGATGCGCTGTACAGACGTTGCTTTATTGACACGGTATGCCAATGGCCTTGGACCGAATCAGAAAGGATGCTTGGTGGGTTGAGAGCTCTCCTATGCTCCTTGCACACTTGCAGTCTATTTCAAGAGACTGGTCATTAACCGGTGATATCTGCTGCATCTTTCCAGAATGTGGCAGTGCTTATCATGAATGGAATATCGTCATGACACTGGAGAACAACGGGGTGTCAATCAAACAGATAGTGCTTATGGATGCTTTCATCCATCCAGAGTGGTGTGACGCAAATGCAATGAATGCACCAGTAAATTTTGTTGGATTTTCCATGCTTCAGCCAGCTCATTGTGCGACTTGGTCTGAACTTGCAAAGAAAGTATGCTGACTGCCAAAAGCATACATTGGCCTGGAGCGTTTATCTAGGCAACATTAGACCACATGCTTCCATGCTCGGCCCCTCTCAATCCTCGTAAGGAGCTGTCTACTAACACTGTACTTCTCCGCGCGCTTCTTCTGAGAAAGTCCGTCGGTTCCACGCGTGAGGCGGATCTCCCTGACTTCATCTTCTGTTAGCTTCAGTGGCCTGCCTCGGTGTCTCACAGTGTCGATGTTGTTCTCACTGTTTGTACCTGGCACTAGATGATCTGGGGCGCAACATGCCCTATTGTCGCAAAGATGGCGCACGATCTGATCCTTCTTCAGAGGTTCCCCGAGCTTGATCTCGCAAGCGAGGATGTGGGAAAGCATCTTCTTGCCGTGTATGGACATCTGGCCGTATCCACAGAGTAATGATCCAGTCCAGAACTGGCACGGAGTGTCCACGAAAGGACTAGCCGCTGGTGTCACTGTCAGCTTCTTCTTGAGGCGTCGGAGCGCTTCCTCGTACATCCCACTCGTCCAAGTGCGCTCATTCGCTCGAACCCTTCTCAAGCGCTCCATCTCGCGCTTTCCCTCTCTACTATCCCCAGATAGGTGAGCCCATGCGTGGCCTTTGTCGATACTTTGGACAATATGCAGCGATACTCCAAGCCGTTCGGCTCTCTGCTTCTGTGTCTCGTGCCCAACCTGCCCATATCTGGTGTTGGTCGGTTTTGAAGTCTTAATCTTCCGAGCGAGGTCCTCTGTGATCTTTGTGAAGTTACTAGCCGCACCTCTTCGCAGGGTACCGTTGGCAATCTTGTCTTGAAAATTATTCTCGGACTGTGTGCCATACGCCAAGTGGGTCGGCTCGAAACAGCGCGGCTCGTTGCACAAGTGCCTGATGACCATCCTGACGCCGTTTGCGTTCTTCTCCGCAGGAGGCTCGCTCAGGTTGTGATGAAGCATGTATGCAGCCCGATGTATGCCCAGAGTGAGGTCTCCGAGCACTACTTTCTTGTAATCAGTATCGGCAAGCAGGCAGCCGTTCTCTTGGCGAGATCCAAATTTTTGAAGTCGGGCCCATGCGCGAGCAACGTCCAGGCCCTTCTTTCTTGGTACTTTCTGGAAGTGCTCGACATTCATGCATAATTTGTTGCCACAGGTACGCAAACACTCATGCGTAACATCAAGGGGGTCATTGGGATAATGTAGATCCCAAAGAAAGCGGTGTGAGGCTAAATTCCTGCGTTCTTTGTTAAAAGTGACACAAACTCTGGGTGATCCGCCTTCACTCTGGCTCCTTACTTGACCTGTCCATAGTTGACAACCACGTGCGTCAGCTGGCGCTGTCTTTGCCCTGATTGCGAGCAGCACAGCAGCATTCCAGTCGGCCATTGATACTATTGATGTTCTAAGCACAAAGTTTGTCCCTAAGTGGTGACGCACCTAAGCACGAGCACCTTCTGTCCCTACCCCCTTCCACAATCTACGGACCATGTGGGAAGCATCTTGCGTACTCCTGTGCAACTACCTCGTACAGCTCTGGTGGCAGGCCTTCTTGAGGTGCCTCTTGCCCCTCATCCTCGCCAAGCAAGTCTACGCCGAAAATCCAGCAGCGCTTCTTGAGCCGCAGCCCGCTGTCACGGGGGTATGGCGGATCAATGGCCTCTCTGCCTGCTCTGAAGAACAGCAGGAGCCCCATCTCAGCCCAAATGCCGTTTTGCGCCAG